AAGTCTCAAAAGTTATGAAACTAATTTCTGTTAACGATTTAATCATTAACAATATATATATATATATATATACCAATAAATATTATTTATTTTCTTTTAGAAATCACAAAACTTTGTACATTAACAACTCATCACAACAGTTTTTTTCTTTTACACCACCAGATAACTCAACAGTAAGTTTGACGCCCTATAGCACTAAAACTCGGAATTCGATCCTTGCAGTGTGCAGCTTTGCGCTTAAACAAACAAGTTAATATTAAATACGCTTTCTTTTACTTCATAACGATTTTCATGAATGTACTGTCTGGCGCAAGATGACTTTATGACTTTTAGCAAGTTATTATTTTTCAGTACCATTTTGAAATAAATTATGCTATTTTAATCTATGGAACAAAAAAGGAAATATTTATTTATTTCGTACTAAATTCTGAGAATCTAATATAATGTTAGCTTAAAGAAGATGCATCACGAACCTAGTTGATTAACTTCTAGTCTCGGTAAGGCGCACACTGATACATTTTAAAGCTTCAGTATTTTAATGAGCGCTGTTAGTTTTTATGTTTAGATTGTCACGACTTAAGCTCTCGCCATCAGTTCCTTCATTATTCTTGTAATTTACTACGATCAGACAGCCAAAATTAAGGATGCTTCTCGAAAGATATTTATGTTTACTGCTGATGCATGTTCAGATTAAAAAAAAACATATTATAGCAGGTTTAGTGCATTATATGAGACGATTTTGAGCATACAAATCATCTAGTCACGTGACAACCACAACCTATATAAAGTCGCGGTGAGCGGCATCTATTATAACTAGATTCTAACTTTGTTAAAATAAGCCAATTGAAAATAGCTTCTATAAAAAATAAGTAGTTTGTTTGTTTGTAGTTATGCACAAAGCTACACAATGGGCTATCTGTGCTCTGCCCACCACGGGTATCGAAACCGGTTTCTAGCGTTATAAGTCCGCAGACATGCCGCTGTGCCACTGGGGGGGCAAAATAAGTAGTACTTTTACTAAATGTTGAATAATTATATAAACTATATAAGTTTTTTTTCAATTTCTGGATTTATACTTAAAACATCTTGCATTCAGATAGTGATATACAAGGTATCAGCTTTTATTATATTTTAATATTATATATTAAAATAAATATAATAAATCAAAATGAAAAACATTAAAAAAACAAATAGATTTTGTATTGTATTTAATTTAAATAAATTTCATACTTTACGAAAATAATTGCTTACATCACAATTCTAGAAATGACGATACTACAACGTGAATAAACATCATACATTATAGTTACACATATAGTATCATATTTCTAAGAAGTTAAGAGTGGAAGTAAACAAAGAACATAAAACAAATATGTCAACCACACTACATCCAGTGCCGACGAGGCTTTTTGCCCATATATCTGCATAAAACAACAACTCTATTTACATTCTTTAATGACGGGGATTCTAAATCGCTACAAAATTACTTTTTTTTCAATATAAATTGTTTAAACTCTAAGATTGTTCTTCACTAAGTGCAAGCTGCACAGCAGTATATCTGAGCAGTATCCATTGCAGGGATCGAACCCCGAATTGTAGCTTTATAAGTCTTTTAGCTTACAGCCGAGTCAACTCGTATACTAGCGTATCCGAGAAGAGCAGAATACCTTTAACACAGGAAGAGAAAAACACTGTCGAAGGAATGGATACATTTGTCTGCACTTTCAGGGCAGTAGCATAATTCTGTTTCAAAACAGGGGTCACCACCTTCCATGCCTCAAGATAAGTGATGTTGGTCAAGATTTTAATTCCTTGTGTCTCCTCCTCAATCCATTTCGTTTATGATCGTAAATAGAAGGGGTGGGAACCATTGCAATTAACACAATGTGGGTTCAACTGACAATCACAGCTATGGTGGTCTTTCTCACTACAACAAGCACATGCAAAAGTATCATGGTAAAATGTTTTAGTGTCAAAACCGATGGCATTAGAAACAAAAGAGAGTTAGGAATGTATGGCCTCATCTTGTAGTTCAAATAACTTGCCTTGACGATAGCAAGTGGGCGTGAAGCCGTAAACATCGAAACAATTCGTTTGGTAAGCTGCATAATTCCATTTTTATTAGTAGAAATACGTCTAACAGCTGATACTCCTTGGCTAGAGAAACCAGCGGTAATCTCCGACTCGGGTATGTTAATGAAATACCTCTCAACAATAACTCCTCTCGATAAATTCAAAGTAGCATGGAAAGTAATCTCAATAAGTAAATCCCCATAGGACACTGACTTCAAAGGAATTTGCTATTCTACATTCGTAACGTTTCGAGCAATATAGACCCAAATTTTAACTTCCTGGCTGATTTAGGAGATCTAAAAAACACTCCAATCCTTTTGGGTGAAGAGAGAGAGAGAGACATTTTTCCACAGCGGATGTAAAAGCAGAAAACGGGGTATAGGAGATGGCAACTGTGTGATATAAAAGTCTGCGTGTCATAGTCGTTTCCCAATAACGTTTTTATGTGGTTATATTTATTGATTGAGATATCCATACGGAAAAGAAAAACATTCAGTACCCACAGACCTCACCATCCATGGAGTCCTACAAGTGGATGTGCCATACTATCAAATTAGGACAGTGGAGCCATGCCAGGGTTACGTGGGCAATATACATAAACAACAGCACTGGACACAATGTTCACAACATCTGTTGAGGACAAATGACATTGGCACTCTGTTGAACCTAGCCACATAAGATCAGATAACTGACCATGACGGGTTACCCATCTACAGGAATTCAAGGCCAAAGTGTTGCAGTGACTCAACCACCAGGGTCCTTTCCTCCCCTTCACCTGTTACCAAGCACAGCAAACACATAAGTGTAGGTTTAGATCTCAGAGAAGATAAACTATTGAAGCAGAACCTTCTCTGTGCGCTGAATCCGAAAATGATATCCATTTTTCTCCATAACATACAGATTTTTCATACAAATTTTCTTTGAAATCGGGTCACATTTTATTATGCTTAAAATGTTGACAACCACTGGCTACGGATTTCTCTAGACCAATCCGATGTAAGTGTCTTAGCGATCGTTCTAGAACCCACGAGAAACACGCCGTTAGTATATAAACTGTCAATAGGCCGCATGACGTACCATTTCTGGATAGTATTTGTATATGCGTACAAATACTTGGCATTATTATTTCTTATTTCAATATGATTTATTCGTCGCTATGGCAACAAGAGGTTGTGTAAATGACCCAAACATATTCTGTTATATTTGTGGTA